CAAACATGGGAGTTGGTTGCAATACTGTAGCCTTGGCACCTACGGTATTGCAACTAGACACGCTCTAAGGGTACTATTAGAGTTGCATTACTTTTGTACCACTAGACACAAAGAAGTAGTTCTATTGCAACCATAGTTTCTCTTTAGAATATATAAGAAAAGTTTCTAATTTTAATTTTCTGTGCTATAGTACAAGAGTAGTATCACTCTTATTTACAATTGTAAGCATTTAAGAGTAAACCTCCAAAACCTTTTAGAATGGCAATAAACTACAATAAACCCTAATAACCTTTGAAATTACAGAAAACCCTCATTAAGTTTTAGTATTTTATAGATAACCCCCATAAATTCAATCCAAAACCAACATAAAAAGGCATTTTGAACACTATCTGGGTTTGGTGTAATTTACCCAAAAGACACTGGGGGTTTTTTGCAAAAAATATTGGGGGTTTAGTGTGCTTTTGAAAGTTTTGGGGATTTTCCACAAATTGCTGAAAGTTCTTTTGCATAATTTACCCTTAATTTAGTTGGATACAAGTGCACAAATTTTTGAGTCTTTCTTAAAATAGATGCAAAAAGGTTTCATGGTTGCCTTGCAGTATGAAAACAAAGCTACCTTATTACTTCCTTAAATTTACCAATTTTAAGGTGGATGCTTGAACTTTCCATCCTATACAATTTGTTATTGGTTGTCAATATCAGCCAGTATGAGTCATCATTAGCAAACATTGACTTATCACTAATTTATGCTCAAAATGTGTCACTACATAACTGATATGAATATATCCAGAATCTTGCTTCAAGAACTTAGACAATATGGACATAATGTGTTAATAAATGATTGTAGGAGTTCATGGTTGAGATGGAGGTGAGGGCAGCGCACAACGTATTGGAAGCCTGTGCTCAAACGGAGACCATGGAGAAGGTGGTCTTCACATCGTCGGTAACCGCCGTCATATGGAAGGAGGATCGAAGTTCGATGGAGGAGCTCGACGAGAGAGATTGGAGCGATCCTAGTTTCTGCCGTAAATTTAAGGTACAATTTATGCCTTCATTTGATATCATCTTAAAGTCCCTTCTGTTATATTAAGACTTTGAATTTATGTTGAAAATACTTATTTTTAAGCTACCCTTTTGTGCTTGTTTTTGTTGACGGAGCCAAAAGCTTTCTTTATTTTCATCACATCCATTCTGATAATATTTATTTATGCTTTTGAAAAAGTAGGTTAGCAACACATTTAGGAGAGTTTTTGCCCTCAAGTTTAGGGTATTAAAAATTTCTTCTTTAGTAATTTTGTAACTAAAGACAATATGCTTTCTTTATCTAGGAAACATCCAATTTAATGTTCGAAAATTCCCCAATGATCCAAAATATGGGACCGACATGGGGAACAGGTGAGGTGTCCCCCTCCTATTGCATAATGAGCTGACCAGCTCATTATGCAATAGGAGGGGGACATCTCACATGCCCTCCTGTTGGTTCTATATTTTGGGTCCTTGTAGTTGTAGCGAAACTCTTAATGTTTTCTAGAGGGGTAGGTTAACATACGTACGCTCCCAAGATCAAGGATTTTATCCAACCAGGTACATATTAGGAAATTAGCTTAACTGAGTTCACCACTAAAAGATTACCTCCATCTCATTAATTATTAGATTTCTTATGGTCAGTACGTATTTCATTGTCTTGTGGAAACTTGATTTGATTAGGATAAAAATTGGATAAAAGTATCCATCTCTCATTTAAGAGGACATTTAAGATACCGACTAGCTGCTCCTGGATGATCCTCTGCACCTAACCTTCTTAAATAAAAGAAACCTGGTCAAATACTCCAAAGTTTTCCAATCAGAATTTAAACAGCTACTACACTTATGACCATGTTTGACTTTTGTGGTTGTTGTTGTGCGAGTGTGTTGGGTTTAAATTCACATAGATTATTATACTTAGGAGCCGGATTTGAATTTAGTTGGGGCTTAATTGCACATAGACCATCTGTAATGCCATTAGAGATTTGCGGTAGATAGACCCTTCATATTATCTCATTGTTCAACATAGTGGAGGCATCGTTTGATTTAACAATCGCCAACATCGACCACCTCTACTTCCTCTTGCTCGACACAATCCCTTTATTTTTCGTCCTGGCTACGCCACTGGTTCTAGAGGGTTATGCCAATATCAAACTCGAACTTTATTAAATCAACGATTTTAATTTACATCGCGTCCGCTTAATTTTTTTTGTCTCTTGATTACAAAAAACATCATGCTCATTCAAAAATTTCATTTCTAAACAGTTCATGTGTATCGCATCGCATCTAATAGTTTAAACTCTCAATTTAAGCACCCAAACTTCAAACGCACATCGATGGTATCCGCATGTTGAATACTATTAACAACGTACAACATATTTGTCAATTTTAGGTATGGCACGCCCTAGCGAAAACCCTAGCTGAGAAAACAGCATGGGCACTAGCCATGGATCGAGACACCGTCGACATGGTCTCCATCAACGCCGGCCTCCTCACCGGCCCCGAGCTCTCCGCCGCCGCGCCGTACCTAAAAGGCACGCCGGAGATGTACGACGACGGAGTTCTTGTGACCGTCGGCCTAAAATTCCTCGTCGACGCTCACATTTGCGTCTTCGAGAGTTCGTCGGCGTACGGACGGTACCTTTGCTTTGATCATGTCGTTTGTCGGCCGGAAGACGCCACTAAGTTTGCCCGGATGGTGTCGCCTACTGGCTCTTGCCCGCCGTCAAGGTTTGACTTTCTACTTCCTAGTAATTTGCAATTTTTATTTATTTTTTGTTTGCCCCCCTCACGTCCATGCAATTTGTTTATTAAGGATAAATTGCAGCTAACACCCCTCAACTCATTATTAGTAGTTAGTACCCAACTCTTCTCAGTTTAAGAGAAAGAGGGTGTTGTCTGTAATTTATCTTTCCAAAAATAATGTTTTTCCGTCGGCAATGATGGGTCCCGCTATCAATTATTATTGATTTAAAAAAAATTTCTACGATCGCAAAATATTACATGCGTGATCTTCATAGTCAGAAAAATGTACCTCTGCAATGTATGCATCTTAGACGGAAATTTTTTAACAGTGAGGGTTTGAGTGTGAGGCAGCCAAAGATCCGGAGCAAGAAGCTAAGCAAGGCAATGCTGGAGAACGCAGAAGGCGTGTGAAAGACAAAAAAAAAAAAAAAAAGATATTAAATTAAGGAACAGTACAATAAACAATATTGACAGGAAATTTAGATTAATCAAAGTGGAGTATCATGGTTTTCTCTATGAATTTGTAAAATCAGTATAGGTTATAATAGTTTTGTTTTGTTTGCCCCCCTCACGTCCATGCAATTTGTTTATTAAGGGTCTGTTTGGATTCGTAGGGGGTGAAGGGAAGTTAAGGGAAACTGAGTGAATGGAAGAGAAAGGAAGGGAAGGGAATTCCCTTCCCATTGGTTACACCCCAATTTGGGGGTAACAATTTTTATACTATTAGGGGGTGAACCAAGGTGAATGGAGGTGAATTAACTTCACCTCCTAAGTGTTCCCAAACAAGGTGAATGGAGGTGAATGGTTCCCCTAACTTCCCTTCACCCTCATTCCCCTCAATCCTAAGGATAAATTGCAGCTAACACCCCTCAACTCATTATTAGTAGTTAGTACCCAACTCTTCTCAGTTTAAGAGAAAGAGGGTGTTGTCTGTAATTTATCTTTCCAAAAATAATGTTTTTCCGTCGGCAATGATGGGTCCCGCTATCAATTATTATTGATTTAAAAAAATTCTACAATCGCAAAATATTACATGCGCGATCTTCACAGTCAGAAAAACTTACCTTTGCAATGTTTGCATCTTAGACGGAAATTTAAGTAATTCTTCCGGGATTATCCGTTTTCTTCTATATTTAAACTTTAAATTAGTCCTAAATTATCTTCTATTACAGTTAGCACTAACAATGCTTCTCTTGTTTTAACAGTGAGGGTTTGAGTGTGAGGCAGCCAAAGATCCGGAGCAAGAAGCTAAGCAAGGCAATGCTGGAGAATGCATAAGGCGTGTGAAAGACCAAAAAAAAAAAGATATTAAATTAAGGAACAGTACAATAAACAATATTGACAGGAAATTTAGATTAATCAAAGTGGAGTATCATGGTTTTCTCTATGAATTTGTAAAATCAGTATAGGTTATAATAGTTTTGTGTGCAGATTGGTTGCATACAGGCCAAAGACGAGTTTTCTTCAGAAGGACAGATGTATTAATTTGATAATACTTTTGGGTGTGTTTCAGTTTATACGGTCAAAATGACCATCTTGTATTTATTTAGAGCTTTTCGTTTGAAGAACTGCGCAACAAACAAAGCTGAACATTAGAATTATAACGATAATAATGTTTGTTAATTATAATCCATATCCAATTATTGCATATTTATTGACATATTTGTGGTACACTCAAACACATTATTTGATATCCAAACATCATAATACACAACCCTCCAAATTTTGTACCGCAGTAGGAATCGATCACCTACACATCACTGATCTTGATGACCACTTTGAGACAGTCAACACCCTTGGTTATTTCAAAGGCACGGTTGATGTCATCCAAACCGACCCGGTGTGTTTGCAGCTCATCAAGTTGGATCTCCTGCGAGAACAAGTACAGAATTTAAAAATAAAACAAAACCCTATAATTAATTTGCTCATCTTGATCTTCGGCTAATTAAGTTTTTCGGATGCCACGAACCTTACTTATGCATTTGTCGATAATTAAACGAAGATCTGATCGAGGCCTAACCCCACCTAAAACACTCCCCTTGTCCCTTGAGTGTTCTACCGCACATAAGCGTAACACGGTCTACCGACGCATATCGCTCTGGCGCAGCTCCAACTAAAATAGTCGCTCCTCTTCCCTGTGAATAACAAACTTCACGGTTAGTGGAGCTGCGACTTAATCATCTATCGTTAAACTTAGGAAAACAACTAAGTAAAGGTTTGATGTACTTCTATATATATATAACAAAATGTCTGACCCTGTACACTATAAATGACCTTCCAAATTGCATTTGAACCAATAGTAAGTCATATGCATTGCAAGAGGCGTAATGATTTTAGTGTCGCAATCTACTGAGATCGATCTAACTCTTCGTCTCGCAGATTCGTTAAAATATATATATATATGATAAAATAGCCAGAGGCAATTACCACCGCAGTGGATTCAAATGCTTCGTTGGTAAC